TGGTCCGTGTCCATCCCAGCAGGAGCAGCCGTCCAGCTCAGTGTCGCCGTCGCTGTGTCGTGTGTTTTGAGGCACCGGTGTGTTTCTTGGGTTCGGTGTGGGTGTTGCTGCTGGATTAAGTTTGGTTCTGTTTGGGTCGTTGATTTGAGGAGCATCCACGCTGATGTGACTGAGCTTCCCCTCCAACAGCTGGTCTGGTTCCATCCAGCTCGGCCTGGAGGCTTCATCTGAACCAACAGATTGATTATAAAATGAAAATAACGGATGAAGTGACGTCATTTGGATGCATTTCAGTCCCACTCACTTTCTGGCGAGTTTAAAGGCATCAGATGAGCCGAACTGGTCCTTTAAAGCTGCTCCAGCTGCTAGAAACGGACCGAACCGGCTGCTGTAGAACACAGCAGGTAGAATCACGCAGGGACACGGGGCCAACTGCTTCTGTGCTTTGGCAGCCCGGTGAGGCGCCCGGTGCCGGTGCACCACCAGGCTGCGCCACTGGGGGGACCGGGGACGCGCGCGCTCCCACATTGGTTTCTCGCTGCTCTGACGTCAGCAACCTGCAATTGTGCGAATGAACTAACGGGAGGACCGAACCCCTACCGGAGCTACCGGGAGCAGTAGAGCTACAGAGCCGCCGCGCGCCCGCCCCGGAGGAGCCAAACGGAGGAAGGTCCGACCCAGAACCGAGCGATGCGAGCGCAGCAGTAGAAGGAGCAGAACAGGGAACCGTTATCGAGATTTACCGACAGAAGACAGACACGGAGACCCCCACCGGACACCACGCAACCAGCTGCGGAGGCTACATCGTGTGGTTTTTCTCTTTCCTTCCCTTTTTGCGCTTTGGATCGAACCGAGCGGATCCGTGATTGAATGCGTTAACGGCGCCTCCGTCCCGGTCTGAGAGAAGAGGGAGCTGCCCAGAGCGAAGCAGAGGAGCAGAGGGAGACAGAAGGAGGAAATAAAGGCAGAAAGAAGGAGCAGCTTCCCTTTTTTTTTTTTTTTTTCTTTTTTTTTCTTTTGGGTTCCAGCTCACGCGCAACTTTCATTTCTCCACCTTTTTCCGTTTTCTTCCGTGGATCCCGGTACCGGTAACGCTATCAAGCTGTGTTCTCTAACCATGGGATGTACTCTGAGCGCAGAGGAGAGGGCGGCTCTGGACCGGAGCAAAGCCATCGAGAAGAACCTGAAGGAGGACGGGCTGACCGCGGCCAAAGACGTGAAGCTGCTGCTGCTCGGTAAGAGACCGGAGCCGTTTGCGCACCGGGGGGGAGGCAGGGCGACGAGGGGCGGCTGGAAAGGTGTGGTGGTGGGGAATAGAAGAAGACACGACGTCTGTAATGAGCTCAAATAAACCAGAAAAAAATGGAAAAAAATAAAATCCAAAATGAATGAAATGCGCCTGAGACCAGCCTGGGGTCTTATTGTGCCCCCCTTTGTAGCCCCCTGCTAACAACCCCAGATCCAGTACAGATGTGGCAGGTGGTACAAATGTAATGATGCAAAATGTGCTGGGAAAGCTGGAGCAGAGATGTGAAGTGCGGAGGGATGCCAGGAAGAAGAAGAAAATGGCAGTATGCAGCAATGGAGGCCCAGCAGGCGGAGTGCTCCGCTGGTTGGGGGAGATTCACTGGTTCTGAGCAGGAAATTAACCTCTGAGTGTTTCAGCTATTTGGTTTAAGAAGTCAAAAACCAAATGGAAGGAGGGGATTTTAACAGGAGGAGGCTGAGGAGGAAAGGCTGCAGCCATGTCTCCATCTCCTCCTCCTTATCTCCACCCTGCTGCTGCTGCTCAGAGGGTTTCGAGGCTGATGCTGTCTTCCTCCCAACCCCTCCTCTCTCTCTAACGCATCCACCCTGTTTACGTTGTCTTCTTGTCTCTTCTCCCTCAGGGGCTGGAGAGTCGGGGAAGAGCACCATCGTCAAACAGATGAAGTAAGTGTGATGAGCACGGTCTAATAAACCCACAGTGAGCATGTGTGGCCTCCTCTCATCCTTTCTTCGCCTCCCTCGCCCACATAGATGCTCATATGTTCCTAAACCTTCATGCAGCCGGTCTGTAAATCAGCCTGCAGCTTCATCGAGGCCTCGTCCACCTTTTGTTTATTTTACATTTCCCTCCAAGGAAAACCCAAACCAGGTCTGTTGACCGTGTGGTGGCCCGACCTGGGCTTCACCGAAGCACCGCTCCACGGCTGAGGATGCTCTTTGTTAGCTGGATGGAGAGACGTGTCCCGGCTGTGCTGTGGCTCACATACATGTTAGTATGATTTGGTATTTGGACAGGAAGGGATGTGGAATCAATAACACATAGCTTCAGGATATCTGGATGCTGGCGGGCAGGATGAGACGCTTCAGATCTGCTCTGATGTCTTCATCCATCTCAGCGTTATTTGATCTGGTGTGCAGAGGAACCATTCGCCGTCCACTTTAATGCTACTCTGCTTTAGTTTTTTTAGTATTAGAAGCTGTAGCAGAACGATGTGGGAGGTTCAGACGGTGTAGACGGTGTAGACGGTGTAGACGGCAGCGAGGCGCTTCCTGAATGGCACCAGTCCCTCATCAGTGACTATCGATGCAGCACAGGGCTGCACTTCTGGAGCTAATCAAGCTAATGAATAAGGGACTGCTTTACTAATCAATCACTGAATCCATTTTTTTCAGCAGAGATCTCACTCATTTGTGTTTCCAGCTTCTCAGATGTGGGAATGTGCACATTTCCTCAGCTTTGTTGGGTTTAACAGCATCTTTTGTACATGTTGTGGAGCATTAGTGGAGGAATCCTGATTGGCTGAGGCTCCCAGTGCTGCTGGAGTACCTTGATTTAAATGCTGTCTGTGGATGCTCAGGTCCGGCCATATATTCTGATAAGACCCGCCACAGCTCTCCTGTTTTACTCCTGTAGAGACTGGATTTGGACCTGTGGTGCTCAGTGCTACGTTTCATGATTTAATTAAAGTTGTCTGATATTTTTCTACCTTTGGCTTCATTATAATGCATTTAATGATACTTCTATTGGGACGTATCTGCTGCAGAGAGCTTCTACACACCTAATCGGACTCTAATACTATTTTTTATTTACTCCATCGCTGCAGTAATCCCATATTACACCTACAGGATTTACTACAGTTCTTGTTTCGGGTCGGCTGCACACAGCTGCTATCTCAGCAGCGTGCTCAGCCCCCTCCTCTTCTATCGCTCTCTCTCCCATTTTATCTGTAATCCAGTCGTGACATATGGTTTTTCCTTCAGTCTCTTCTGCTGCGTCATTTTACAGACAGCCGAGTGTGTTTCAGCCGATACCAGGCTTTGGTCGTGGCCGTGCAGCGACATGGTTCAGTGGGTCCAGATGAGGCTGCTCCTCAGCTGCTAATGGTCACTCTGGCAGCACAGCACGTTCTGCACACTGGCTGACCAACGCTCCCAGCGGCTTCATTAAATATACAGTAACCTTTTGGAGCCACTGAACGCATCGATTGCACCGGGCCGTTGTAGATCACACGTCTAATGCGACCCGGGGGTGTTGGTCCATATGTGCCTATTGCTCTGATGCAGATACTGTACGTGCTGACCACGAGGTCGCTCATCTGCAGCAAAGACGCACGTCACAGGATTACGGCTGCTCAGTGCGTCCTACAGGCCGAGCAGCCGCTTCCTCTCATCTGGCTCCCACCACACTGCCTTCCCTAAACCAGTCCAGCCACCTCCGTGTGTCTGCTGTCTGCTCACGGGCTGAAGGCATCGCTGCTCATGGAGGAGATGTTGAAACCCGGCAGGCAGGAATTCTAGGTTTCATCTAACGCACAAGACCAGTTCTTATTTGTGGGTAGAGAGCTGAATGACTCAATGTCCCCCACAAATACTGTTATTGTTAGATCGGTGTTCCTACGATGAGTGACTGACTGGTCCCACTCCAGGGTTTAACACCAGTAAGACTGACTGGTCCCACTCCAGGGTTTAACACCAGTAAGACTGACTGGTGCCCAAACTGGTGTGAGTTTAAATACTTTGAGACAGAACAGCTAGCTGCTGGACGTCCCTCAGGCTGGACTGTGTGATGCTGTGTGCAGCATTCTGACAACAGTCTTGACGTGTTTCTTGACGAAGGCTGTCGTGTGGTCGAGAGGCAGGCTGCTGGACGGGCCCTGCTGGACGGGCCCTGCTGGACGGGCCCTGCTGGACGGGCCCTGCTGGACGGGCCCTGCTGGGGAAGCCTCTAGTTCCTGTTCAGAGACGCTCTGCTATTTCCGGAGCCTCATCAGAGTGGAAAGCCCTCAGTGCGTCGTCCTCGCAGTGCTTTGAACATCTGGGGCGTGCCCAGTGACCGGTGGTGTGTGTCTGTGTGGCTTTGTGTGCTTTCTTCAGAGACAGAGGGAACCAGATGAGTGGATTAGATTCAGATTTAGGTTTTTATGCAGTGTGTCGGGCTGCAGCGTGTCACAGCTGTGCGACCTCAGTGAGTGGAAGCAGCCAGTGTGTTGCCGCTGTGAGCAGCACAGAGCGCGGCTTCGCTGTCTATTCTGTGGCTTTTTAAAAAAAAACGAAAGAAGAAAATTACTTTTAAATTGTGCTTCGGCTGGAGGGGCAGAAACAAAAAGCGCAGACTGTGCACGTTGTGTCCAAACTCTGCCCCCTTTCAAATGCAGATTATTGCTTTCTGAAATGATGCAACGCTGAGTGACAATAGCTCATAACAAAGCCCTGATAGCATCTGAGTGGAGCGCAGCTGCACGGCGGTGTGTGTCTTTGTGTGCTGCACAGAGCCATAGAGGGACCTTGGACTAACAGTGTGTTATCAAGGTGTGACGCGACAACATGCCGTCGTGTCAGACTCCATTTGTGAGAAGGCGACGAGTCGAACATGAGCGCTTTGTTGGAGAAACATGACGATGAACGAGTTTGTGACACATAAATGCACACAATCTATCAGTGAGTGTAGTATGTGGGCCGGAGACCCGAAGGAGCCGGTCCTGTGTGGACCGCATGTCTCTATCTGTGCATGGGGTGTGTTCGTGTGTGTGTGTGTGTGTGTGCGCAGGCGACACCATCTGTTTATGGAGCCTGTGTGTCCGTGCGTGTGTGTGTGTGTGCGTGTGTGTGTGTGTGTTTGTGTGTGTGTTTAGACGTGTGCAAAGGTTTCTGTCGCCGCCCAGCTGGCAGCACTGACCTCTCCAGCAGTGCTCCTGTGAGTGAGTGTGGGAGGAAAAAACTCATTTAATGCAGGAAAATCTAATATCAGCGAGCAGAGGAAGACGAGGCGCGGCCGCGAAAAACAAGAAAGCTTGTTGAGAGTGGCGGCTTGGAGCCTCCTCCTCCTCCTCCTCCTCCTCCTCCTCCACAGTGCTGTGTGCCCGTGAAGCTGCTGCCGCTGCTGGGCCTGTATCTGTGAGGCGACACCCCAGAGACGGGTCCAACTGCTCCAGAATAGGAATTAATTATTCCTGGTTAACATGCCCACAAGATGTAAGCTGCTGCTGCTTTTTTAGGAGGTTTGCCTAATTAGCTCGCAGTAGTTCGTAGAGCTCAACAGTTAATCAAAATATTATCAAAACTGCAACATGGCCTCGCGCCGTATCCAAGTCCCAGAGCTGCAGTTTTATTTTGTGAAAAAGGCAAAATGTGTCACAGAATATGAATTATAGACGAGGCGCTGTGAGATGCCTGCGAATCGTTTTGTTTGGTCGAGACTGCAGCAAAGATCACGTGTATCCTGTAAGCAGAGAAAACGAAGCATCTGAAGCTACAGCTAACATCGTGATATCTGCCAGAGCATCACCTCTGCTGCATGTCGGCTGGTCCTCGTAGTTAACGTGATACAGCAGGCAGGGCTTTGTGAGTGGAGCCTTTGTGGGTTCAGAACCGTCCCATTCGTGAGCTTTTTGATCACAGTTTAGGGAAAATGATGTGACTGTCAGCAGATGTCACCAACAGCCTGACGTAGTTGGATTTTGCGGGGGGCTGCTTTAAATATGTGCCTCAAATACTATATTGCACAAGAAAGCTTTTGGTGAGAAACAGAATGAAGACGCAGTGGACGGAGCAGAAAGCTGTGAGGCTCAGCGTGACTTGGGGAGATCAGAATATGCCATTCGTGTGGGTCAGACAGAGATATACCAGGAAATAGGGGCTGATCAATATGGGGTTCTCAGGGCTAATACCGTTATTGATTGCTAGTGATCAAGGAGGCAGACGACAACACTTAGAACTGAGATTTGTAAAAGTGTTAGAATTTGGAACAATGCAAAGTCCAACACAGAAGTCTGCTGACATAGTTCATGCTCCTGGTGTTCAGACTTGTTGTTCCTGATGTGTCAGCAGTCAGATGAAGCTGTGGGCAGGATGCTGCTGGAGAAGATGGAGAGAGACAAAGAGGAGGCAGCATCTGTGCCAAATGATCAAAGTTTTCAATCATTTGTTTGATCAGAAATCCGTTTTGTTTTGTTTCTAAACCCACTACCGATAATTGGTCTAACTCTAACTCGGAGATCTGAATCCTGAAACGCTCGAACCGAACTCAGACTTGTGCAGCTCGTGAATCACAGAGATTCAGCTGAAGACCATCAGCGTCTAACAAAACCTGAATGCTGGTATCAGGGTTCTCGGTTTGGACCGAGATGCTACGGATTGATCATAAGGAGGTGGTACCAGGAGCTGACCCTGGTTCCTCGCCTCCATACAGAACGTCTTTCCACCCTGTAGTGCTTGTCCAGGTAACGTCTCTGTCAATCATTAACGGTGTGCAACTCATATAAAACTTTATAAACTGAGCCGATCGCATCATAAGATAAATGCAGTTTATTGCAGAGCAGCAGCAGCAGCAGCAGCAGCCTGCGTTTCCCTCGTAGCAGGCCTGGTCTGTCCGTAACACACATCCTCCCTGTGAAAGCTGAAGTATTGGGCTGAAGATACACCTTCTGCTCTCTGAACACAGAAAC